GGCTCAAGCTACCCTTTTGAGCATCAGGAACCTCCCGCATACAGAAAAAAGTCCTTCTTGATCTCGACTCTACTCATGTCGAATACCTTCACGACCCGCATGGCTACCATGGATACGGGGCTGGGGTGCTCACGGTCCGATTCGACCCAATTCGACCCGCAGACTTTGAATCCCATTTCGGTCCAATTTGGACCCGCTCGAACCGATTTCCTCTCCAACCTGCAGAGGCCAGGCCCGAGCCGCGATCTGCAGCGATGCGATCCCGATCGGATTCTGCGCCGATCCCGACGCGGTCCGCTCCCTTTTCGGTGGGATCCGATTTCGCGATTCGATCCAGCTCAGGCATGCGGGGTGCGCATGTGCGCACGCACTGCGCACTCGTTGCGTCCTTTCTCAGTCTTAAGTCAGTACGGGCTGCTATTGAAGTTGCCCTCCAGAGCGTGAGGAGGGAAAGCCTGCACGGATTGCTGCTGCCGCGTGCCTGCTTTCGCTTGCGAAGCCTTGAGTCGCAGGCGATCTCTCGCCCCCGGTCCCCTAGTTCCTTGGCGAAGAATTTGGCCGCTCAGCAAAGGACCGGAGTTCAGTGTTACACCCCTGGGGGGGGCTATCCGTATGCACCCGCTTCCAGGATGGACTACCCCACGTGCACATCCCCGACCTCGGCTCCAGATGCACTGCCTGGTCGAGAGTCCCACAGAGTCGTGGACTGGGGTCGCCATACCCTCCGGCATTGAGAGGGCTCCGTTGAGTGGAGTGGGCATGTACGCAGGGGCTCTTCTCGGAGACGGCCACGGTCCACGCCTGCGCGTGCACGCCCCGGCATAGGACGAGGAGGCTGCGGAGGAGAGGGGGAGAGGCCTGAAGGCAGCGCCGCGAGGAGCCGCTTGCCAGCGGCGATTTGTGAGGACTTGTCCACACGCGTGCTGGAAGAGAACAGGGTTCGTGTCATTCTGCTTCCATATGTGTGCTGCGCACCACATGGTTGGGCGTACAGCGGGGTTGTGGGGCAGTCATGCAAGAAGAGGTTTCGGAATAAGTCATATGGCTTGCGCGATTTGTGTAACAGCTCGCGCTGTCCTTCGCACGCCCTCCCTGACGACGGGGGCAGGACACGCGCAGCTTTGTCATCCTGGCCATCGCCGTCTGCTGCGCTGTTCTACCCCTCGAGACGGGAGGGAAGTACAAGCCTGTTGAATGCTGTGTTAGTGTGTGAGGGACGATCAGCAGGCGCTTCGTTTCTCGAAGAACACAAACCAAGGGAAGAAAAACCACTCCGACCCCCATAAATGAGGTTTACTGCACGGGCCTGGACGTTGACTAAACAGCTCTGAACTGTTCGATTCCTTCCTTGGGTGCGTTTACTAAAACGGCTTTGCTTGTCGACGTGCTTGTTATGGGGGGGGGTTCTGTTTCTAACAGTGCGGCACAAACATACACGTTCAAACATACACGTTCGGAGGCCGGCGTTGGTTTCTGGTATCGTCCTTGGGCCCGTCTGGTGGCGCCTCCGGTGCCTCCCCTGTCCGCTTCGCGCGCCAGGGATGAGGGTCCAGCGCCGATCCGAGAAATCCGCGCGGACCTCCGGAAGTGTATGTTTGTGCAGCGTGTTGTTCTTCTGGTTGCAAGAGGGTGCTGTGAGATGGAGAGGAGTGCCAGAACAGGCTCCAGATGGCTCGAGCAAAGCGAGCGTGACAGTGAGACCTTCGCGGTTCCAAATCGGGTGCACGTCGTTGGAGGAGTGCACACATGCACAATCCAGCGCAACGAGACGCAATAGAGAGCAGCGCATGGTTGCATTGCAACGCACATCGTAGAGCGCAACACGTAGCCCTTCCTAGCACCATACCGATGTGCATCAGTCCACAGCACGGCAGAGCCTGGCGTAACATGAGCCATTGGGGTATGGCGTATGGCAACATAACACGTCATGGCATGGCACTGGATAACAGAAGCGTAGCATGGTTTACCACCATAACAAACACTCACGCGTCTATCGAGGACGCCGGCGGCGCATAACCGGCCGCTCCCTGGGAGTTTGCCGAAGTGGTGCGCAGCATCGAAAGTCGTGACGCGGCGCGTATGCCAGCTATCGCTGTACCTCCCATGACTGCGCCCCCCCCTCAGCGGGCGTGAACTCAGCGGCGGTTAGCTGCACCCCCCATGACCATGAGATAGAGTATTCTGCGGCGGTTAGCTGCACCCCCCTTCTCAGCACAACTCAGGATCAATGTGTGCGAACACCTAGGGTGGATACTCCGAGGGGCCGCGAGGCCTACGAGAGCGCCCACCTCAGGAACACATTGGATCAGGGCCGCATCAGCTTAGGGGAAACCCAGGAGATGACCATGGCCCCTAGCCCTCGGATTCGGGGCCTGGCCGAGGGGTGTGGTGGTGCTTCTCCTCGCCTCTCCCCTCTCGGGCCTGGCGGGTGTCCCCCACCCTTGGCCTCGGGGCCTGCCAGACGTGCTATCCGACGTCGGGGCGGTTGCCGCCCCCTCCCAGGGCCGCCCGTATTCTGCGTTTCGTGGTCTGGCTCCCACTCGTGCACTCTTTGCGGAGTGTGCTTCGGCCCTGGACGACCTCGTGGTGTGTGTTGGGTCCCGGGTATGGGAGACAGTGCCTCTCGGCGGACTGGGCCTGGCTTGCCTCCTGGCCCACGCATCCTCCACAGTGCAGCTCCCCCAGGCGCCTCGCCCTTTGACACCGCAGGAGGCAGCACTACCACCAGTGCCGCCCTTCCCCTCACTCCTCCGCTGGCGGTGCGTCCCCGCCTGCGGGCCCTCCCCCCCCCTCTCTGAGGCCTGGCGCCGTGCCGGCACGCTCTGCGTGGCCAACAGTCGCTTGTTCCCCCCTTGCCCTGTGGAGTGGTCACTCGGGTGTTGGGTCGCCACGGAGTGGTTCAGCCTTCCGCAGCAAGACAGCACCCAGACTCCCACCAGCTGCCGGCCAGTGCGCCGCACCAGTTCCGCGACAGCTGCTTGGCTTGCAGACGTCGTCGCGGGCGTTCGGAGTCTGGCGCCCCACAGGCGACTCACTCCACCGGCCTCCCACTTGCCTCCACTGCAACACGACCCCCCCTGGCAGGCTGCGCAGGCGCTTCACCAGTAGACGGCGGTGCCCCCCACGCCTGCGGGTCTCTTCGCTTCGGGGATCGGCATCGCCGTTGCGCCTTGGGCACAGCCGCATGGCTCCACCTGGCACTGGGAGGTGGATTACTGAGGTCAGGGCGCCGTGCGGTTCAGCCTGCTACGCCTGTACGGCCCTCGGTTCTCCTTCTGATGCACTCGCACCCGAGGCCGCTTGTACACTTTGGTATACTGGGCGGCGCCTAGGTGCGTCTGCTGGCGAATGCAGAGCATTTGGTTCAGTGCATGTGCAACTGCACGCTTGTTGTGCAATTCGCTTTGTGCCGCCCGCCCCGGACATTGCCTCTCGCCGCCAGACCGTTGTCGCGCGGCCGCCGACCAAAAAAGTATGCCAGCTATCCAATGGCCGTCGGCCCATCCCGCGACCGTGCTTGGATTTTGGGTCGGAGTTCTCATTGACGCTTCTTGGGGTCTCTCGAGAGGGCTCTCGGGGGCTTTTGCGGGGGAGTTTAGGAACCTCTTCGGGGGTTCCTGGAAACCTCTTGGGGGCTCTTGGGGGCCTTTTGGGAGCCTCCTGGGGGTCTGTTATGTCCTCCTGTGGGCCTTTTGGGACCGAGAGTTCGAAATGTCCGTTCGGGTTCCCCGTCTGGGCCCCCTCTTGGGGCCGTCCTGGGGCCCTCTTGGGCCGTCCCGGGGGCCTCTTTGGCCGTCTTGGTGCCCTCCTAGGCCGTCTTGGACCGTCTTGGACCGTCTTGGACCCCTTTGGGGGCCTCTTGGGCCGTCTTAGGGCGATCTTTGGGGCCTCATGGGCCGTTTTGGAGTGTCGGGAAGCGAAAATGGCGAGAACGCCAAAATCATACAAAAACTTGGAAAACAATGAACGTTGCTTCTTTGGGCCCTCGTGGGGGTGCTCTTGGAGGCCTCTTGGGGCGACTTGGAGCCGTTTTGGGCCGTCTGGGGGCCATCATCTCGGGCGTTTTGGAGCGATCTGGAACTGTCTCGAGGTACTCTTGGACCGTCCTGGTGCTCTCTTGGACCGTATTGGAACGCTCTTGGGTTGTCCCCGGGCCGTTCCAAACGTTCAGGGGGTTGAGGCGGGGGGGGGGGCTGGCGGCAGAGTGCCCCCCCCCCCCCCCCCCCGGAGGGACTTTCAGGCGGTTTTCGACCAGGCACTGGCGAAGGGGGCCAAAGATTGTGGCAAACTCTATGTCGGAGAGGTCTCGCACGGCCCACACCGCAGGGCGGGGGCGGCCGGATCTGAAGGCTTGCGCTCTTTGCCGCCGGCCCCCCAGGCAGCGCCACACTGCGTGGCTATATCAGAGCAGTTCGCAGGCACTCTGGAGCAACCTTCGGGCCATCCTGGGTCAGATATGGGGCTACGTTGGAACCTCTGGGGCTCATCTGGCGGGCATCTTGGGCAAATATTGTGGCCCCTTTTGGCCATCCTGGGCGATCTGGGCGGCCGGGGCCGGCCTGGGCAATTTCGGGAGTTGATGGGGGCAAACTATGGAACAGGTCAACATTGATAACAGTATTGGGCGCGGGGACCCCCATGCGTGCATCATTGTTCCAGCGCTTCTTTTTCTGAGCGCCACCAGAGCAGAAGTGAACTTGTGATTCCCAGATCTCCGTTTGCCTCTCAGAGCGCCGCCCTGGAGGGTGGCGGCGCCCAATAAAGGGCACCCTGGGTGCAGGTTCGGGCCGGGCGGCCGTCGCCCGGGCGCCGCCCCTTTGGCGACCGTCGCCTTTCCTGCGCGGGCGCCCGCTGGCGAGCCGTTTGATTGGCGTTCGCGCGCCAGTCCGAAGGGGGCGCCATTGCGAATGGGAGTTCGCTTTTGCGCGGCCGCCTGAGCCCCCCCCAGGGGCGCGGGACTTGGCAGGGCCCCCGGGCGTCAGTGGGCCACTTCGGGCGCGTCCACGCTGCGCTTCACCGCCGCCGGCGCCGCCGGGCGATCGGGCGGCCCCCGGGCCCCGAACGCGCCCGCCCCATAGAGCTTTAGACGGGCGGAGAGGGCCCCCGCCGGGGGCGGCGGCAACGCCGACGCCGAGCACCCAGTGATCCGCTCTGCTTTCCGAGTACCGCCCCGAAGGGTGCCCCCCCGCAGAATCAAGGAACTTTTGGGGGCAGGTTTCGGCTGGGCTGCTATTGCAAGTCTCGGCGCCGCCCAGGGGCGCCCGTCGTTCTATTCGTTCGGGGCCGCGCCAACGAACCACCGATGTGGAATGTTCGTTGGGAGAACTACTCAATGTTTACATTTGGTGCTCGCGAATGCGCGGCCGCTTCCGCTTTCTTCGGGGGGTGCAGGACACGGCAGGGCCTGCCGAGCATGAGCAAGACATCTCAGGGCTATATGGACTCCGCGTGGTATCGCATGCGCGTTGGAGGCCCTTGCGAACGTTTGCAATCGCGTCGGGAGCAATTCGGGTGACTTTCGAGCGTGCTGTCATAAGAAATCAAACATTGCGGCACATTGGGGGCGCAGTCTGGCGGCACATTGCAGGCGCCTTGCGATCGCCTGCGAGCGAGCGTTCTGGAAGCGCTCTCCGGCACTTTTCGGAAGCGCTCTGGAAGCGCCTGTGAGGGCGCCTTGGGAACGTTCTGAAAGCGCTTATCGCCGCGTTCGAAACGCTCCGCGAACTTTCGCGAACGTTTGCAAGCAGTTTGGAAGCGCTTTGCGGCATATTTGTTCGCTTCCAGGGGCGCGCTTTGTTCATGCGGCCAAGAGCATTCTGGAGTGGCCGTGGAAGTGTTTTGCGAATTTTGGCGGGCACATAGGAATCACTGCACTTCTGGGCACTTCCGAAACACGTTGCTACCGTTTGCGGATTGTGCAAGACAGTTGCATGCACTTCGGATACACTTTTGGGCACTCTTGCAGCACCCTGCAGGCGTTCCCAAGCACGTCGGAGGCGCTCTTGGCCACCTTACGGGCGTATTTGTCTGAACCGCTGTTGACCGCACCCCGGCGGCACTCCGCAGGCGCTTCGCGGATGTTTAGGGGAGTTTTGGAAAGCGTGTTCGGCCATTGGGGAGACACTTCAACGCGCTTGCGAAGGCTTGCAAGCATGCAGGATGCACTT